TCCTTGGAGAGGGATGTCATGCTTGGGAAGGTGGAGGGACAGTGCAAGAAAGGAAGACCTTTGATGAGATGGATTGATTCAGTGACTAAGTAATTGGCTTCTCTCTTCTATTGCTATACAATCAGTTTTTTAGAAACTGTAAATACCACAGGATGTGATTGCCCATCTTTCCACTGCAGCAACGCTGGTTCACTCAAACTGCCAGAAAGAAACTACATTGGATTAGCAGTAAAACTCGCTACAGATTATTCTTTTGTTGTTTTTGTTATGTTTTATCAAGTTGTTTGCAACTCATAGTGACCCACCAGAATTCCCTTAGAGATAAGCAGAAAACTGGGAGGCCTAGTGATAAGGAACTGTATTGCCATCTCAAAAGCATGCAGTTCAAATCCACCAGCTGCTCCACGGAAGAAAAATGGGCACTCTCCTCTTGTGTGATTTACTGCCTTTCAAAACCCACTGAATGGTCAGTTGCGATTCAGCAATTCACAGCAACAACAGAGACAGGAATGCCTTTGAGTTGTGGTGCTGGAGAACAGTACTGAACACACTATGGACTACCAAGGGAACTAACAGCTATGTCTTGGAGAGGGCGAAACCAAGCTGCTCCTTGGACACAGTATCTTACATACTTTGGGCATGTTGCCAGAAGAGACCAGTCCTTGGAAAAGGACATCATGTTTGTAAGGGTGGAGGAACAGCACAGGAGAGAAAGAGTCCAGAAGAGATTAACTAACAGTAACTGGGGTAATGGGAGTAGGTGTGTCTAAGACAGTAAAAAATGGCTCAGGGTAAAGCACATAGAAACAATAACAGCAATAATGAATCACAGAAAAATATTGGAAAGACTATGGGTATCAAACACAATTCTGGTGAGAGCTCAAACAAAGATGAGAAGAGCTTTAACAGAAAATCTCTGTCATCTTAGAGAACATGACCACAGCCTTCAATATGGATTATATCTCTACACCAAGAAAACAAAAATTTTTCACCAATATACCAATAGGCTAAATCACAATAGGAGGAGAAAAGACTGGAATTGTTAATAATTTCATCTTACTTGGATCCACCATCAATACCCATAGTACTATCAGTTAAGAAATCAAAACATATTTGGAAAATCTGTTGTCAAGGACCTCTTCAGCAGCCCAGGTACTAACTATGGACTATCAATTATTTGTGTAAATCAATTCAGGTTTAAATTTCTTTCAATTATTTCCATTTTTAAAATTTATTAAAACTAGCTTCATATTAATTTGTATTATATATTTTCAATTAAAATTTTTCAACAATTATTTTGACCTTAAGTTTCATGTTCCATGATCTGGTGTTACAAACATTTTATTCCTTAATAATTTTTAGCTAATGCTGTTTAACCATACTTCATTTAAACTCCTTTCCATTTTATTTTGTATTTTTTTTTGTTTACCAGTAATATTCTCTTTGAATTAGATGAATGACAGTTTTTATTCCTTCTTAGAATGTGCATCTTTCTGTCTTATAAAAAACCCTTTACTCTCTTCATCCATAATATCTTTGATGTCATCCCATAATGCATCTGTTTTTCAGTCACAAGTGTTCAATGCCTCAAACCTATTTTTGAAATTATTTTTCATTTCAGATAGGATAGACTTAAGGTCATATTTTGGTTTTTCTAGATTTGTATTAATTTTCTTCAACTTCAGTTTGATTTTACATTAATAGTTAATGGTATGTACCACAGTCAGTACCTGGCCTGATTTTGACTGCTGGAACTGAGCTTCTCCAATGATTCTTTCCACAGATATAGTTAATCTTATTCCTGGACAGTTCATCAAGTGAAGTCCATGTGCATAGACACTGTTTCTTAGAAAAAGTGTTTGCATTGAATGAGTCAATAAATATACAAAACTCAATCATTCGCTCTCAAGCCTGATTCCTGTCAACAAGTCTATGATTTTCAACTATCTGTCTTTCTTCTTTTTCTTCAGCTTTTGCATTCCAGTCACCAATTATGATTAATGTATGTTGATTACAAAATCCATGGGAAAAAATCTCTGATTATCCAGTTGTCCAGGACTACTCTATTATAATGGTTTGCAAGGTTTTAGACCTCCATTTAGTCTTTTAAACATTATTTTGAAGATCTTAGACAGCTTTTGCTTATGTGGGCTACTGTTAGGAATATTTATTGTATCATAGGTCAAAACATGTATTTTTTAAATATGTCTTTTTTTAAGGCAATAATAAGCCCATCATGCATTCACTTCTTAAACAACATGCCTCTGGAAACTATGAACTTGGATAAATGTTGATAGTTATAGAAAGGCTTCAGGCCTTTTGTTCATAGGGTTGTTATGAGTCGTGCTCATCTCAAAGGCAATCAACAAAAACAAAAGCATAATAATATAACTAACTTACTAACTTACTTTTATTTTTAAAGTTCTCACTCAAAAAAAAAAAGAAAGAAAGAAAGAAATCAGTCCTAGCTGATTGTTTCCCTAAGAACTTCTCCAGAGTGCTAAAGAGCAATAATAACAGTCCAAAGACTAAGGGCGTCCCGATCTAGGCCATGGTCTTCTCAATTGCTTGTTCTGCATCTAATAACTAGACAATGACTAAGGGTGACAGAAGACAGGTTGCCCCTTGGAGGCAAGGATTTCACTACTTTGGGCATGTTGTCAGGAGGGAACCAGTCCTTGGGAAAGGGCATCATGCTTGGAAATGTGGAGGGACAACAAAAGAAAGCAAGACCCTTGATGGGATGGATTGACACAGTAACTGTGGCAAAGGGGTCAAGTAAGTCAGAGACAGCTCAGGATAAGCAAGGTTCAGAGCCATTGTTCATAGGGTCATTATAGAGCTATCGCCAACTTAACAGCGCATTAAAAAAAATCAAACATTAAAAAAACCTCATTGCTTGTCAAGTCAGAACTGACTAATAGCTGAACCTCCAGCAAGTTTTCAGAGGTTTTAAACTGCATAGGAGGATAATACCACACATACTCCTTTTTGGTTTTCCTGTGGAGCCACTAGTGGATCTGAACTGCCAGAGAGGCATTGCCTTTGGGATAGCTGCCCAGCTCACTATGGACTATGCTACCAGAGCGTCCTTAAGAATACATAACATGTATGATAATTGTCCACTGGTAGATTCAAATCACCACAGATGTGAAACCTTTGGCCTCCTTCCAAGGTTCTTTACTCCAGGGTACTCCATGGTACACTAAATCTATCCCAAGAGAGTTCTGGTGGCCTAGTGGATAAAGAGGTGTGCTGCCAACCCAAAGGCACATGGTCGGAATCCACCAGCTGCTTCAGTGGCAGAAAGATGGGCAATCTCCTTTCATTTCATTTACTGTGTACTGGAAAATCCACTGGAAGGTCAGCTATGAGTTTCATCTTGTTGACACAAAATAACAGTAACAGTTTATGCCAGTTTAAAGACTTAAATAATTTAAATATGTCCAAGACAGAAGAAAAGGTCTTCTGCATCATTTTTCACATATTTTTGACAAGAAAAGAGGTGTAGTTTCATAGTGCATTGTGTGTTGAGTTGCCAAACAAAAAAATTCATGGTTTGAATTCACCAACTTCTCAGTGGGAGAATGATGGGCAATCTCCTTCAGTAATGATTCATAGCCTTGGAAATCCAACGGGAGATTGCTTTGAGTCAATGACACTGAGTAGACAATGAGAGTGTATCACTTTCTTTTATTCTTAAAAATATTTTAAACTGTTGTAAAAAAATTTAACATATTTACTAACAACATTTAGTCCAATTTAGTGACACCAATTATATTACTCATAATCAATGTCAAATTTCACCATAAAATATTAACTGCTTCCTAAACAATGGCTCCTCCATTGTTTTTTTAAATCAGCAGTTTGTTGATGTGGAAAGATCCAGAAAACAGGTTTTTAAATCTTTTAGGAGAGTCTCTTGCTGGTACAAATGGTTAGTAATGAAAAGCTGGAAGTTCCAGTGTTAAAAGGTACCTCAAAAGAAAGACCTGAAAAAAAAAAAGAAGAAGAAGAAGAAAGACCTGGCAATCTACTTCCAAACAAATCAGTCATTAAAAACTTTATACAGCTCTACTCTGACACTCATGCGCTTACTATGAGTCCCAGTTGTCTGGATGGCATCTAATTAGGAGAGTAAATGAGTTTTTAATCACTTGTCAGTTTTTTCTATTATTGGTGGCTTTGCATGCTGCTCCAATGTTTTGACACCAGAATTTCAGATTACCAGCACCGTCACTTATAGGTTTCCCCAGAGTTTCCAGACTTAGTTTTATGAGGAACGGCCTGGTATCAGAAAATCAGCCAGTGTTGTGGATCACAACAGATTATTGTCTAATATAATGCTAGAAGATGAAGCCTTTATGTTGGTGGCTGGCATGAGACTTTGAGTCAAATCTGATTTAAATGTATTGGTATTGTTTAAATGATAATAACTTAAATTTGTTTTGTTTTTGGTCAAATATTCTTCTAAGTGGTATAGCACTGGTCTGTCCATTTGCTGTATAGAGGTAACTCGTGGTTACTGTGATGCTAAATACTGTGACACTGATGTGTCAAATGTGATAATGGTTATCCACGGTGGACAGTGTTTGGTGGATCTCCGGATTAAAACTAGCTTAGAAGCAGGAGTGGCATCCACTTCAGTAATAGCTTGCCTCTGGAAACTCTATCATCGTGGAAAAACGATGAAAGTTAAAGAATGAAAGTGTTCAGACCTTTCTTTCGTTCATAGGGTCACTATGAGGATGAGAACAGACAGCAAGTCTGGGAAATTAAGCTTATGAGGTTTGTCTCTCAGGTCTAAAAACGCAAAAAAAGTCAAAGCATACCCACCATTGACAATTGCTTGTGCCTAATTGGAGATGAAAGGTGGGAAGGGCGTGGCCTGAGAGCGGCTCTGTCAATCGACTCTATCGTGCATCCTTTATTTCTGTCTGGCAGGGGAGCTGCGCTTGTTCTCGTGAGGCTTCAGGATTGAAGGCCATAGGCTATGCTAGAGGATAGGGGCGTGCTCAAGCGGAGAGAGTAAGAGCGTGAGGCCGCAGTACGCAGCCTTCCCAGAAGGGTTTGCGCGCCCCTCGTTTTCTCCAGAATCCTCCTTGCAAGCGCGTGAGCCGCTCTGTGCAGCTGAGCGATGGCCCTCCACGTTCCCAAAGCCCCGGGCTTTGCCCAGATGCTCAAGGAAGGAGCAAAAGTAAGAGATGAAGGAAGGAGGTGGGGTGAGAGAGTCGGCCTGAGTCTGCAGAAACCGCAGGGAAAGAGAAGGGCCTACTAACGGGCCTGGCGTGCTGCTCCGGCGTAGCGGGCCAGAAGATTCCAGAAAGGGAGGAGTGCTCTGTAGGCTCGGCCCCTGAAGCCAGCTGGCATCCAGTTCTTTCGGGACCTGAGGATACGCTTGGTGGGCTGTGGGGCAGATGGTTCATGAGGGACAGAATTCGCGTTCTAGCTGAGTGAGATCCATCTGTTCCTTGTCCATTATTTCTCCATTAGTAGATTAGTCTCCCTTCCTTTAAAAGGTATCGTGAAGGTAAAGTTAAATTACGTACATGAAACTGGGTATACGAAGCAAATTTGTAGTTTTCCGCATACGTTGAAGTTACAGCTTGAAGAGGGACAAGGAAATGTTATTGCTGAAATGGGCATTGGCTGCTCCCCCCACCAACCACGAAAGAAAAAACTTTTAAAATCAGGATAATTCATTGGTTTGGAAATTTGTTTTAGAAAGCATTATACGTGAGATAATGGCTTAATGAATAAGAAATTTAAAAACTGCTGCAATTAAGAAAGCCTCTCCTAGGCTTTATATCATCCTGAAGAGGGGTAAATAAATACAGGTGAAGAAAGTTAACTGTTACTACAGGAGAGCGAGGAAGTTGTTCTGGGTTGGTTGGTTTGTGTTTGTTTTTTTAAAAAAGAATGGGAGGAAATAACTTTTAGCTTAGTGCTGAGATAGCAGTAAGCGAGCCAAGATCAGGTGGAATAGTGTTCAAGTACTGTGTAAGGACCCTGTGAATAAAGTTAATTTGGTCTTTTGAAAGAGTAGTAAGAAGGACAGTGAGTTTGAAGCTGATCAGGGAAGACAAGGTTGTTTAAGAGATGCATTGAAAGGAGCTCTGGTCTCAGAACTCTGGTGGCATAGCCTGACCAGTTGAGTAATGAGTGGTGCTTCTGCCCCAAAGGTGACACCTCCCTGGTGATTCAAACCCTTCTCAGGAACAGTCTCCTCCTGTGCAGTGTGCACTGTGCACTGTCCAAAACCCAATAGAAGGTCAGTTAGGGCTAGATAGTATTAGTGATGAGGGGATTTTTTTTTTTAAATAAGCAGAGACGAGGTTATTTTGGGCCTTACATATAGCTAGGAAAAGGGGATTGGTTTTGTTGGTTGGTTTTGTTGTTTGTTTTTTTTTAAATATTACAACTATGGGATGTCATTAAATGGTCTTTCAGTATGGAAATAAGAACTGATTTATGATGAAAAAAAAATCAATTCTGCTGTTCCTCAGGATGCGTGCAGGGTACAGGGGAGAGAACCAGAATTGAAAACCATGAGCTTAGACGGAATGCTACTGTCAGAATCCAGATCTTTTTACAGAAGAAACGTCCAAGGTTCATTTTATGAATTGATTTAAAACTATACTTCTAGAATAATACAACGGGACATTTCACTAATGATAAAAATGTTCTATATGTGCACCAGTACAGTAGCTACTAGTCAGATATGATTGTTGCTGTTGTTAAGATCTGTCAAGTCATAAGCTACTCATAACAACCCTATGAATGAAAAACCTGAACACTTGTATAACTTTCATCGTTTTTCCAAGTTCATAGAGTTTCCAGAGTATTTCAGAAGTGGATGCCACTCCTGCTTCCAAGCTTGTTTTAATTGGGAGTTCCACCAAACACTGTCTACCATGGGTAACCAATCAGTTTTTATCATCACAGCAACCATGAGTTAGGTCTGTACATCAGTGCACAGACCAGTGCCATACCATTTAGAAGAATGACCAAAAACAAATTCACCCAGGCCTAAGGGCTGCACATTAAAATCACCCACCTTTGGCTTGGTAGCATAACTTTCTATCCACTAGGTAAAAGTTGGTAGAAGCCCTCAATTTCTTCATCTTTGGCATTAGTGGTTGGTGTGTTGATTTGAATAGTCGTATTAACAGATCTTCCTTGTATGTGTATGGGTAGTATCACAGCATTGAACTTCAGGATAGATTCTGAAATTTATTTTTTTTTACTATAAATGCAATATATCCTTCTTCCTCAGTTTGACATTTTCAGCATAACAGCTATCTGATTCAAAGTAGCTAGTAACAGTCCATCTCAGCTCACAAATGCCTAGGTTTTCCACCTTTATTCATCCCATTTAATTTTTTACTTCTAATTTTCCTAGATTCATACTTCATACATTCCATGTTCCAATCATTAGTGGATGTTTACAGCTGTTTCTCTTCCTTGTTTAACATCTTCAGTTAAAACACCATCTTAAGAACTGAGGCTCAAATGGAGATACCAGTATTCACAGCAGCATTGTTCACAATCGCAAGAACATGGAAACAGCCCAGATGTCCAACCACAGGCACTTAAACTGTGACTAGTACAGCTGAGGAACTGAATTTCTATTTTAAGTTAGTTATGTAGTGACATGTGACTGGTAACTGCTGTGTTGGGTAACACAGCTCTAGAAAATGCTCACTTCTACAGAATACTTTTTGTTGTATACAGTCAAGTTATAACTAACCCATAGCTGACCCTCTGACAGGTTTTCAGAGGCAGTTAATCTTACAGGAGGAGATTGCCCATCCTTCTCCTGCAGAGCAGCTAGTGGATTTGAACCACATGCTTTTGGTACTGTAGCACAACTTCTTGCCACTAAGCCACCAAAAAAAGGCTTATTGAAATGTATTCTGAGACCCAAAATTAATAAAAATAAGTATGTGCTCATTGGAATTGTGACAGAATTCTAACAACAGTGTACTTCAGTCCTTAAATATTTGAGAGTAGATACTTAGTTTCATTTAATTTATGAGTAAAAATGGCCAATAATCTTCAAAGCAGCAAAGTGTTAGTGCCACATTTCAGCTTTTAGTTAGAAAATACTGATAAACTCTGAAAAGATGGTTTACCAGAAATGCGTAAGATTTGCAACTTCAGAAACCTGATGAGGAATCATCATGAGTCAAAGTTGATGGTAATTGAGGGAAACTGTAAAGTGTGTTTGATTGACAGGCCATGAGGTAGACACTATTACTTACCTTGATTGTATAGATGGAAAAATTCCAGGTAAGTTGCCAGCTGGCTAAAAATGAGGATTTGTAGCCACCCAATTAGGCTGTCAATTCTATGTATGAAATTTCTAAGCTATTAAAGTAGAAATCCACTAGCATCAAGTTATTTCAGGCAAATTTCCAAGGCTGTAAGTAATAACGAAAAGAGACTGCCTTATCTTTCTCCCAAGAGCAGCTGTTGAATTTGAACTGCCAACCTCTTCGTAGTCCACTAGAACAGATCACCTAGGGAATTCCTAAAGTCTATAAACTTTTTCTTTTGGGTAAAATATGAGAAAACATCAAATTTGAAAATACTTGTGTTTTATACCCTGTCTAATCAGAGGTCTCCTTTTACAGCATTTTTCAGGATTGGAAGAAGCTGTGTATAGGAACATTCAGGCTTGCAAGGAGCTTGCCCAAACCACTCGTACGGCATATGGACCAAATGGTAATTTCTAAATGCATTGTAATAAAAATGTGACTTTTATCTCATATTAAGAACATGCAAAAATTACACCCTTTCTTTGAAATAGTAGCTACTGTTCCTTGTGACATAATCAGCCATTATTTAAAGTGGCATGATACATTAAAAAGAAAATTCTTTGTTATACCTCCTATCATTAACTGAATTTAACTGGCACAGAGTTAAAGAATAAGAATATTTTTAATTAGGTGCCTTTTGGAAATTTATATAATTTCTATTTATTGAATATTTGCTTTATGCTAGTAAAGAATATAAAGTATTAACCAGCAAGTTCTGCTCCAGGATTTTGTAATATCGTTGGGAAAAAGTTGCTTATTTTTTTAAGAAAGAAGTTAGCAAAAATGTGATAATGGTCATTCCCGTCCATTTTTAAAATGTTCATATGTTTTATAGTACTTGACTAAGTTTTCTAATTTTATGTATATATTTACACATAGAACTGCTCTTTTTTAGGAATGAACAAAATGGTTATCAACCACTTGGAGAAGTTGTTTGTGACAAATGATGCAGCAACTATTCTAAGAGAGCTAGAAGTAAGTGTAAACAGAGCTAACATTTTAGTAGCATAAAACGATAACTGGATTTTAACGTAGAAGAAATCTGGTTTTTAGATAGTAGATACTGCAGTGAAAGCCAGATCCCACTGGGACTACCTTGGTTTTCCAGATCTCTAAAGCTTTCCACCCATGGCAGGGATGCAGTTTGCTATAATTGATTTTAGTGGAAAAAACTTGTGTTTTCATTTTCTGACAAGTTTGTTTCCACCTTGCATAGTTTCTCATTGATGCACATTTTAAGGTATCATTTTTCCATCTTGAAAGTTTACCCTCAATTGTAAACGGTAATCTTTGCATTTAACAGCATGCGATTATTTTTTTTCCCTAATCTTAATAATTTGTAAAGGGATTAGTTGGACGGTAAATATGTGTTGATAATCAGATCTGATTCTTTTGTCTCATAGATTGATGCAGATGTGAATTTACTTCATATTATAGAAATAACCTGGCATTTAAAATAGCTTTCTTTTTAAAAAAAAAGAAAACCTACTTATTTAACTTTGTGTAGAACATTTGACATTATAAAATATAAAGTAGGTGGTACGTACCATCAGTATTATCCATAAAATCTAGCACCTGAACACGCATAGAAAGCCATTCACTATCTCACTTGTTACTGAATTAGAATCAACTCTTGACTCACTGGTAGATTTTTTTAGAGGCTGTAAATTACATAAGATTGTCTATCTTTGTCACATAGGCTCTGGTAGATTTGAACCATGCATTGTTGGGTTGAAAGGACAACTCCCTGCCCACTTGGCCACCAGTGTTCCCCTAACTAATAATTAAAGGATTATACATTTAACCCCAAGGAAATTTTTGTAACCACACAAAAAGTAAATGGAAAAGAGTGGTTACAGTGTAGAGATTATAATCAGTGTCACAAAATGTTGAATGGAAAACTAATTCCATTAGAGGAGAATTTAATCTTAGGTTCTAAATTTTATAGATGATTTTTAACTTTTAAAAAGTTACTGAACAAAATTTAACTTTTTTTTTTTATTTTAACAGCATTTTTGCCTCTTACACAGTGATGGTATACTGGGAATAGTGTTTTCATACTAGAGAAAACCACAGTATCAATTTCTGGGGTTGGGGGTTGGTTTATTTCATCAGTTTATATACTAATTTGGGGTTTTTACTTTTTTCCATTTCATTAATTTATAATAATATGATGAACTTTCTGAAAGTAAAGATGAATGACCACCAAAGAGGTGCACTTTGAGGTTTTCTTTTATGGTACCATACAGAGAGTTTGTTTTGTTTTTTTGTTTGTTTGTTTTGTTCTGCTTGTGATCACACTGTAGTGGGATCAAATAGAGTTACCTGTCCCACAAGAAATTTTTAAATCTTCATTGAAGAAAAAATGGAAATGAATGCTTTTCTATTCCTTTAAGGATCAAATGTTTCTACTTGATGTGTAAATGCAAACCTCTTCTACCAGGTACAACATCCTGCTGCGAAAATGATTGTGATGGCCTCTCACATGCAAGAGCAAGAGGTTGGCGATGGCACAAACTTTGTTTTGGTGTTTGCCGGTGCTCTTTTGGAATTGGCTGAAGAGCTTTTGAGAATTGGCCTGTCAGTTTCTGAGGTCACTGTTTATTTTATAACCTTCTCTTACTTCATTTCTGTTTATAAGTACTACTGTGTTAAGATAATGATAAAAATTATGTTACAGTAAATAATAGCTAACATTGATTTTAATCTTGGCAGGCACTGTGAGTAAAGCATATTAAACCGACCCCAACTTTATATTAGCAAGGAATGTGAGGAAAGATTTTTAAAAGCCAAGATTTTTTTGTGTAGTAAATGGTAGAGTTGAAGCTCAAACTAAAGTTATCACCAAAGCCTTACTTGTAGACTTTGCAATAAATACTGTGCAGGGGGTTTGGGTGGGCATACTTCATCTTTTTAAATAAAAATTCCATTCTTTAAGAATTATTATTACATACTGGCTGATAGCTGACCCTTAGTGGATTTTCAGAGGCTATAAATTGTACAGGAGGAGATTGCCCATCTTTATCCCACTTCTTGAAAAGAATAGTTCCTTTATCTATTTTTGTTTTTTCAGGTCATAGAGGGTTATGAAATAGCCTGTAGAAAAGCCCATGAGATTCTTCCTGATTTGGTATGTTGCTCTGCAAAAAACCTCCGAGATGTTGACGAGGTATCATCTCTTCTACATACCTCCATCATGAGTAAACAGTATGGTAATGAACGGTTTCTGGCCAAGCTTATTGCCCAGGCATGTGGTGAGTAAATGGCCATAAGTTAAAAAGGTCTCTGATGAAAATAGCTTAGTTTTCTCTCTTTTTTTCCAAGATCCTTTCTGATGTGTCATAATTTCCTTAACAGTATCCATTTTCCCTGATTCTGGCCATTTCAATGTTGATAACATCAGAGTTTGTAAAATCCTGGTAAGTTGAGAAAATACATAACATTAAATATGTTTATCGGGGACTTTTTTTGTTTGTTCTTGGAAGGCAATTTTAATTTTATAGTAATTTTGCATTATAAAATTCACACCTACATGTTGATACTGAGGTAAGGGTATAGTTTCAATAAAATATGTGCTTGTTAAAATTAAGTATGTAAGTGGAATATTCTCACAGTGGTATTCTGCCTGTTACTGTAGTAGGGCATTGTGTGTATAAATGCATGTGATGGGAGGATGTGGACATATGTGCATGTGGTACTAAGTTGTATATACATACAGCACCTGCTCTCATGCCTGCTATATTGGAATGAAGTTACATACCTGATGAAGTGAGGAAATGAAAGTCTTAAAAACCGTTCTCTACATTTTAGTTCTGACTACACTTAAGAGTTCATTCACATGGTGATTTCTGCCAGCATGAATATAAAGGGTGTGCTTCTCGCCTTCGAGTCACTGCCTTAGTGTGTTGTATATTAGAAAAAGCAGGATTAATATGTGCAGGACCAACAGCTTAGCCCTGATGTTAGTTTTATGAGGTCACTGATAATTTCTTAATTTCCTTAGGGCTCTGGTATACACTCCTCATCAGTATTGCATGGCATGGTTTTTAAAAAGGAAACCGAAGGTGATGTTACATCTATCAAAGATGCAAAAATAGCAGTGTATTCTTGTCCTTTTGATGGCATGATAACAGAAACTAAGGTATGTAGACACAGGACCTTAAAATTATTGTCAGAATTTGCGATTTCTCCTCTTCAGAATAATGTTTTGTGATTTCCAAAATATTAAGGTAGCTTATGCTTAAAAATGAATGCTGCAGATATTACTGAAAACTGTCAGATCATTATATATTTAAATTTACATTCTTTGGATTTCTGAGTTCACAGTAATAGCAAACTTGAAATATGTGGTGGCAGTATAATTATAAACATTCATACCTACTGGCACAATATTTTACATGTTAGGCTGCTAATAAAAAGGTTGGAAACTTAAATCTGTTGGCCACTCTTCGGGACAAAGATTGGTAGATTTCTCCCATAAACATACAGAGCTTCAGAGACAATTAAAATGAGTCGGAATGGATTCTGGCAATTTTGAGGGTGTTGTTTTTTGGTGTTTTTTTTATATATACTAAGTAAACTGAAGTCCTTAAAGAGAATGGAAGTATTTATTATGGTGTGTGCTTCATGAAGAGTAATATTTTCTAAATGTTCATGAGGTTCTCAACTAAAATAATTCTAATGGTATTTAAATGGCAGGATTTTATGTTAAAAAGTTTGACGTTTGTTTATAAGTCACTTTTGGCAACTTGTCTAGAATTCCTGAAACATAGATTGTTCATTTGAAGTTTTTTAAGATTAAGAGAATGTTTGTCAGTTAGTGCACAGTCCATATTTTCCATCAAAGTGCAGTCTTGTTTTGAGGGTAGCCAACTGAGCTTCTGTTGATTTCATGTAAATTTTGTGTTTGCTTCAGAATGTTTGTTTTTATTTTTATTTGGATTTTGGTGAAAGTTTGAAGAAAGGTTGAGTTTTCTTTCATTAGTTGTTGAACTTTTTTCCTTCCTCCCCTAAATGCTTATCCAAGATTGTTAATTGTCCTATATAAAATGCCTAACCATCCTTTCCTTTCATATAATCGTACCTTTCACCCGGTTCTGTGTAATGTTCATTATTGATCCTCTTTCCCTATTCTCCCCCCCCACACCATGTCCATCGTATTTTTATAAGAGGTCTTTCTGCAGTGTTTATCCTTTTGTGACTGAGGTATTTAAATATGTCTTCCAGACTCATCCATTTTTAGTATTGTATAATTCCATTGTTTGTCAGTGGTACATTAATAATTCCATTGTGTGAATGTACCACAGTTTGTATATCTATTCATTTGTTGATGGACACTTGGCCTGCTTCTGCTTCTTCACTCTTGTAAATAATGCTGTAATAA